TTTTATATTTCAAAACACTCGAATTTAGTATTGAAAATAATTAATATAAAGAGCATATATAATGACTAATTAATAAAAGAAGGCAAAGACACTTTCAAATATACTTGGTAGTGTTAAATCTGAAAGGGCTTAACTGAAAGTTCGCTCAGCTTAATAAAAGTGAATTATAATGACCTCGGTGTAACAGCGACAGGGACGCTATCTATCTTTCTTAAAGGAGAGGTGAGAAGCCGGAGTCAAGGGTCTTAACCAGGTGTTACGTCGATGAGATACACGTGCAATGCAGAGATCTTACACAGTTCATAAGGATTATAGAAGAAAATAGTTGTCAACCGTATTAGCCTTTTTATTTATTTCTTTTTCAGAATTTGATGGCTTACTATTGGTTCCACTTTGCAATTTTATAACCTGATTTGCATACATAACATGACATAATGAACATTTTCACGTCCTTAAAACCTTTTGAACTGTCCAGATATCCAAATTCAGGCTTTTCTTTTTCTATTACCAATAAACCTACCTATGCATCTTAGAGGCTAAGTTCTTAGAAACATGATAAAGATTTTGAGGCCTACTGAAACATGACCTGCGGGGGGGATTTAACAACAGGCGCCTCCTCAAGCAGTGGCTGTTTCACGGAGCCCTCGCCAGGGTATTTGTTGAGCAAAAGAGAGAGCACGCAAGGGCATGGGAATCGGTGCGGGGACTGCAAGGGTGGAGCGGGAGGGTGGAGGGCACAGGGGGGGAAAGGGGATGGAAAAAGTAAAATAAAAGTTAAAAACAAATAAATAAGTAAATAATGAATCATCACATATAGGCTAGCCAAACACAAGCATGAATTTGCATTTCTTCGTGAGGCTGAGTATTTTCCCTGCGTATTGGTGACTTGCGTTTCTTCTTTAAGGGAAGAGCATGTTCCCTTCCTTGTCCAGTGTCCTGTGCAGGATTAAGTTTAGTGTTATTCTTACTCATCTGTGTCGTTTCTTCAAAATATTGACTCTCTGAAATATTTGTTGTTCAGTTTACTGATCATTTACGCTGTCAATTTTTAGCTCAAGAAGCCCTTTCAATTGTTGACATAAATAAATATGTAAGTTTGTCTACTGTTTCCCTTAAGACTTGATTAATTATATAAACCTCTGAATTCATTAAGAACAACTTTTGATACAGAGAAGGAAGTGAAAATCCTATTTTGATTGGTTTTAACTGATAGTCAACCAAATTTACCCAAAGATCAGTTTCTCAGTTGTCCTCCTATTTATGAATCACCCCCATTCTACATGAAGTTTCACTACATGCCTGGGTCTGTTTTTACTAAGCAGTCGACTAATGGTCTATGGTTTTATTGTATATTTTATATTCAGCAAGGTCAAGTTTGCCTATTTATTTAAAATCCCTCTATCCAGTTGACTTCTTTAGAATTTTCCCATTCTTCTTAAATTTTCATTAGTTTGCTCTGTATTTTCTAATTATTCATATTATAAATGGATTTTTGAAAGGTCTGAAATACACTGAAGAGTGAGAAAACAGCAAACAGAAAAACATGAAACCTCCCTTATCCCAAGATTGGCACCGTTAACATTTTGAGCATATCTTTCAGGATCTCTACCAGGGATGATCTAGGTAGTTTTGTTATAATTCTCTCCCTCGGCCAGTAAACAGAAAAGCGTTAGAATAGGATCAATTTTTTATGACATAGAAAAAAAGTTTTGATTCAGTTTATCATAGGATTGCGATTTATTTTTAAAATACTAGAAAACATAATCAATTCTCTCAGCCTTGAATGTGTAATCTTTTGAGACATGGAAAAAGTAAACTATTTAGTGAGCTAGATCCATTCATACTCCTCTATGTTGTTGTTCTGATATACTGCATTGTGCTTTATTTCACTGGAAACATAATCCCATTAGTAATGTACTATAAAGCTATCCCAGTAGCACGCCAGTCATGCAAAAACACTTCCCCTTGTTTTCTTTATTTCCTAACAATGAAGAATTTCACTTACTCCAAGTACATTACAAAATATAGTGCCATTTAATTCCTAAGTTCATTTCTGTATGTATTTATTCAACAGTATCTTGGTGATAATGAACATTTGTGAAACGGGGAAGAATGAAGGAAACACACTACTTAAATAGAGTGCTGTGCAGAACGGCACGTTACTAATAACTACGCCGGGAAGCCTAGAAGTGGCTGATGCAGGAAGAATTGTAAGCCTTTTGTTCACAGCAAAGCCTGGGAGATGAATAGCGGCACGTGCGACCTGTGATTTATTCATACGCACAAGTAGGAGATTTATAGGTTTCGATTAAGCTACTCAAGTTCCAACTCTGTCTTAGGCTGCTCTTTTGTCATGATTAGCTATGTCATGACTATGTTAAATAACAGGTTGACTGTGATGAAATATGAAAAAAATATGAAGACAGATGGCCAACATTATTATACATGTACATTGTTCCAGCTAAACCATGTACATATCTCTGCTTGTGTGTGTTTTAAAAAATCAGACTGGGCCCTGGTTGGTTTGGCTCAGTAGTTAGAGAGTCGGCCTGTGGACTGAAGGGTCCCAGATTCAATTCCGGCCAAGGGCATGTACTCAGGTGCACGCTCAATCCGAGGCCCTGGTTAGGAAGCAACCAATCGATGTGGCTCTTTCACATCGATGTTTCTCTCTCTCTCTCTCTCTCTCTCTCTCTCTTTCTCTCCCTTCTACTCTCTCTGAAAAAGCAATGGAAAAAGTATCCTCTGGTGAGGATTTAAAAAAATTAAAAATCAGACATATACATATGCACAAAAGCAAAAGCTTTTAAATCTGGACTTGAGATCCATTGTCTAGAGTGGACTGTCTCCCAAATCATATATATGTTGAAGTCCAACCCTCCAATACCTTAGAATGTGACCATATTTGGAGAAAGAGTTTTTAAAGAAGTAAAGTTAAAATAGGGTCATTAAGTTAAAAGAGAAAGTGGACCCTAATCCAATATGACTGGTAACCTTATAAGAAGAGGAAATCTGGATACAGACATACAGAAGAAAATGGGAAGACACAGGGAAGAGTCTGCTATCTATAAACAAAAAAGAGAGGCCTGGAAGGACACTCTTTTCCCATGGTCCACAGAAGGGCATACCCTATGAACACCTTGATCTCAGACTTCTGGCCTCCAGACTGTGAGAAAATAGATTCTGGTTGCTTACACCACCCAACCTGCAGTGCTTTGTTACACTGCCCTAGCAAATTAATATGCCCATGAACTGATTCAAGAGCACAGGGAGGAAGAATGCTGAGAAAGAATAAGAATTATTTTGTTCCTTTCAACATCTCAATTTAAAAAAAATAAGTCATACCAGCCTGCACACTGTGGTGGGGCCTGACCTGACCCTTCCTTAGGGTGAAACACCATCAGAGAAGTCACTGCTCTAGGTGATGCTTCTGGTTTACCTTGCCATCAACCGATCAGGAATTGCAACTTAACTGATGGTGTTGCCCACTTCCACACTGTGAGCCCACGGGATTGGCAAAGGTACCTCGGCATGAGCTTGGGCGTCTGTAAGATCTGCAAGCACATCGTGCTTTCAAAGGGCAGCTCATTCTCGGCTTTGCCCTCCAGGTCTCCAAGTCACCTGTGTGTTTCCTATCTGTGTCCACGCTGACCTAATAAATCCAGCAAGAGAAGGGGAATGGAGGAGAAGGCATTCCCAATCCCTTCATGCCCAACGTAGGCTCGCAGAGAGCGGAGAAGGGGTATGCCTTTTAGAAACGGGGCAAATGTAAGGGCACTGCCCAAGTCACGTGAAAGCTACCACGGCCAGCCGGGAAGGTGACAGTGGTTTAACCTGCCACGAGATGCTGGTAACTTTTACGGAGATCTGCCACTCTCACTTCTCAGCTCTTCCAAACCTGTGACGTGCCTACTGTGGCAACTCCTCTGCCCCGGAGGGAAGTTGGCCCCGGGAGCCAGGCAAAATTTGCTGACACGTTCAAAGTGCACAACTCTACGACGCATTTCTCTGTGTCATCTTAATAAAACAACATAGAGTCAAGTTTTATAACAGCGACAGAGAGAGAAGAAAGTCATAATTTTCCATGCTCCATGACTCAGAATAATTAATTGAATAACTGGGTCATATGAGAAGAGTAAATAAAGAGAAGGAAGGGGTGTGGATATACATGACCACTGAAGCGCATACAATTGCAGGGAGAAACAAATCACCAGGATGGTGCTGGAAATAAAGTGTGGTGGGAAATGTTTCTTGGATGCTAATTTGTTTCTTCTGTGGAGCCTTAAAGCTGCAGGGCCTGCAGGTGCACTATTTATCTCCGTTTGTTTTTATTTTTAGCAGTTATATAACATTATGTCTCTAAAAACCAATTAAACACCTTCCTGATCTCTACTGGGAATTTTCCCTAAGAAGTTCCTTACCTAGACCATGATTTCATTTACAGCGTCTTTCTGGGGAGCATTTCATCATCAGAGGTGTTGAAAATGTATTGAAGTGAATAAACGAGGGTAGGAACAAAGTAAGATGCAGCTTTCTCTGGACACAGTCACAGTCTCTGGGATTTGGTCCACAGCAAACACTGAAACACTGGATCTTAGATGAGCAGCTTTCTTTGTCCTGCCAGTCTATAGGTTTCCAAGAAGGATAATTATTTCTGAATAAGAGCATATATGCCTAAGACAAACTGAAAATACAGGCCTTTAAAGTGAGAAAACTATTGTTGCAATCAAATTGGTAGTTCTAAAAGTAAATCGCCCTTTACTTGGTCAGGTAAGATTCAGATTTTGTCTACTTGAATTCAGTTTTATCTTCCCCAAATACAAAAGATACCAGCCTTGTCCCGTCTCATATTAGGACTCTTAATTCCACCATTCAAACAGATAGATTGTATGTATCAAACTATATTCATGGGCTCACCATCCCTCCTATAGCCAGGCCTCCCTGAGGACCTGCCCTCTGTTCCCGTGGCTGCAGTGGCCACAGTGGCCACAGTGGCTTACCGACAGTGCTTGTGGGATCCGGTCAGGGTTTCGATCACAAAGCACTCGCCATCATTGAGACAGTAGGCCAGGTCCTTGTCTCGGCAGGGTTTGAAGTGCTCAGATCGCTCAGTGGAATATGTGGTCGTATCTGTCGAGGGAAGCACACAGAGAAATGCTGTCAGCAGCACATCCTGAAACCACAGCTCCTGTCATTGGTCTGAGTCTCTGCATTCAGGCCCTCTCATGGGCGCTGACCTTGGGAGCGCTAGGCAGACAGGATGACTCCTCCACTGTGATGAAAAAATGCAATTGGATATGACCTCCTCCAAATTCATATATTGAAACCTAATCCCCAATGTAATGGCATTAAGAGGTCAGGGCCTTTGGAGGTGATTAGGTCATGAATGGGATTAGTACCCTAATAAAACCGACCCCAGAGATCTGCCTTGCCCAGTCAGTCATGAGAAGACACAGCAAGGAGATGACCTTCTATGAACCACGAAGACTTCACCGGACACTGAATCTGTGGGCACCTTGACCTTGGACTTCCCAGCCTCCAGGACTGTGAGAAGTATCTGTCATTCATTGTATAGTAACCCAGTCCTTGGTACCGTTATAGCAGCCAGGACTGATGAAGACAACCCCTGTATTGAATTGCACTACTTCTCCACTAGATTTTAACAACTGGGGTCTCTCTAGACAAGCTTCATCTGAAGATGCATGAACCGTGGAAGCTGAATGATCCTTCAAACACCTCAGATCTGCTTTCCTTAATTTCAGTTTTAACAAACATGTGGTGTGAGGGACTGAAACAAAGTCCCCTTCCATTTATCACTGCCAAATGTCATCAAACATCTGATCAACGTCTATTGTGACTGTCTGTGGAAACCAATGTCAGTTTCTATGAGGTTTTTTGTTTGTTTATTTTTGTTTTTCAGTTACAGCTGTAATTAGCTAATAGCCAAGCCAATTCCTCCTTCACTTTCTCCTTTTGTTATGTAATTAAAATGCAAATGTGCCAATTTCTAAAACAGAATCTCTCATGTGAAAATTTTTTCTGGCAATTATTTAACAGGATCAACTTATTGTCATTTTTTAGCATTATCTTAAACATATATTTTTAAATCATACTTACTTACATTTTTTTCAGTTAAGCTATAGGTCTAAATCTACTTCCCGAACACAAAACTAACCATATGTATGTGCTATCTACTAGACTCCATTATCACATGAGGACATTCTAGTTTCAGAGTTTTCAGCAACTAAAGTATTAGCAACAATCCCACATTCAAAGAAAAATATATTTAAAAAGTCAAAGATGGAGGTTCCAGTCAAGACAGTGGTGTAGGCAAACATGGTACTCGCTGCCTCCCACAACCACACCAAAATCACAACTAAAATTCAGGACAACCATCATCCAGAATCACTTGAAATCTAGCTGAACAGAAGTCCTACAACTATGGAACTGAAGAAGAAACACACTGAGACTGGTAGGAGGTGTGGGGACTCAGGGAAGAATCACAGAACAACTGGTCCCACACCCACATGAGGTGGTTTAAAACCAGGAGGGATATCTCGGTGGTGGACCTTCCCTGAGAAGCAATGCAATCCAGCCCCACACCAGGCCTCGCAGCCCAGGATTCCAGGGCTGGGAGGAGAAGTCCCCAAAACTTTGGGCTGTGAAAACCAGCAGGGATTGTGGCTGAGTGACAGGGAGGCTGCGGGAATCCCAAGCAGGTCCTCTTAAAGAGCCTGCTCAGGGACTCACTCAGACGCTCCAGCATTGGGCAGCAGCTTGAAAGGAATCTGGGACATTTGGGGAGGAACTAATTTGCCTGTAATCAGGGAGAGAGCTGGAGGGGCAGCTTACTCCCAGACAGAAGAGCTGGCAGAGACCATTGTTCCTTTGGCAAGCTCTCCCTCACAGAACCAGCAGGCAGGCACCTTCTCTGAACCTCTATCAACCTAACTCACACCTTTGGCCCTGCCCCGGTGATTCCCAGAGACCCCGCCCCTCCCTACTTGCAGACTCATCCAAGCCATTTCCAGTGGCTTTTCTATGCAAGTGGCCTCTCTAGCCTCATGCTTAGGACTTTCCTAAAATCTCTCAAACAAGCAACAGCTGGCTTCAGCGTTCCCCGTACCTCTCAATAAGTGGCCCCAGGCCTGCCACTAGCAGCAGCCTGCATTGGTTCATAGCTTGGTCTCTCCAAGGCATTTCTGAGCCCAACACAAGTAGCACTCATCTGCAGATTGATTTGTAGCTAATGCTGGGTGGCCCTGGGAACAGGTAGTGGCTGACTTTGCACCCCCTGGGAAGCTCCAGAGCCAGGGCACCTGGTGGTTAGCTTTGACCACGTCAAATTACAACCCTACCACCTCCATGAGTGACACACTCAAGGGGTGGACTTGGTGAGCACCAAAGTCTCACTGAAGCAAGTCTTGCTTCATAGGGTCATGGAGCACAGCAGCTCTTCTGCTGTAGTCACAGATGATCCTCGCCACTGGCTGGCTTGGGGGGCCAATCCCTCTTAGTAACACCAGTAGCAACGAGGCTCAACTATAATAGGACAGTGCACACAGCCCACACAGGGAAGCACCTGGAGTGCCCAGCTCAGGTGACTTGGGAGGCTGAGCCACTGGGCCCTACAGGACACCTACTACACAAAGCCACTCTACACAAAACACATCTAATCTACCAAGTCCAAGAGACACAGAAGATCTACCTAATACATAGAAACAAACACAGGGAAGCAGCCAAAATGCAGAGACAAAGAAACATGTCACAAATGGAAGAACAGGAGAAATCTCCAGGAGAAGAACTAAATGAAATGGAAGCAAGAAAACTACCAAGTTCAGAGTTCAAAACAATGGTTATAAAGGTGCTCAAGGAACTTACCTGGAACTTTAAGAAACTTAGTAAGAACTTCAAGAAACTTAGTTAGAAACATCAACAACATAAAAAAGGACTAGTAAAAAGTGAAGGATACACCAACTGAAATAAAGAATAATTTACAGGGAATCAACAGTAGAGTAGAGGTCACTGAGGATCAAATCAAGAATTTGGAATATAAGGAAGCAAAAAACACCCAACCAGAAGAGCAAAAAGAAAAAAGAATCCCGAAATATGAAGATTGTGTGAGGAGTCCCTGGGACAACTTAAAGCGGTTTGAATTCACATTATGGGGGTACTGGAAGGAGAAGAGAGGAATCAAGAAATTGAAAATCTATTTGAAAAAATAACGCCAGAAAACCTCCCTTACCTGGTGAAAGATATAGACATACAAGTCCAGGAAGTACAGAGAGCCCCAAATAAGATGAATCCAAAGAGGCCCACAGCAAAACGCATCTAATTAAAATGCAAAAGGTTAAAGGCAAAGAGAGAATCTTAAAAGCAGCAAGAGGAAGGCAATTTGTTACCTACAAGGGAGCACCCATATGACTGTCAGCTGATTTCTCAACAGAAACTTTGCAGACCAGAAGGGAGTGGCAAGTAATAGTCAAAGTGATGAAAAGCAAGAACCTACAACCAAGATTACTCTACCCAGCAAAGCTATCATTTAGAATTGAAGGTCAAATAAAAAGTTTCCCAGACAAGAAAAAGCTAAAGGAGTTCACCAACACCAGACCAGTACTACATGAAATGTTGAAGAGTCTTCTACATTAATACCAACATTCAACAGTGCAGGTAATTGTACCTGCTTACTACCTGGAGGTCACAATAAGCCTGTTCCTGACTGCCATCCAAACTAAGTGGGCAGTGACTCTCCTAAAAGTCAACCTTTAATACTCCCCACGGGACCCCATTCCCATAGGAATAACTGAAAATTTCTCAGTAGAGCAAAAAAAGGCATAGGCCATGTGGAATTTTGCCTGTTTAATCTCACATCCCTGCACCTTAAAACACTAAATTTAATTTCTAACTATTATTTTATTTCCCCAAATGCCAGGAACTATCACACTGCTCTTTCTTCCTGGACCTTCTTTTTCTTTGCCAGAAGCCACCCAGAAATCCTTCAGAGCTCACACCATATCCTTCGTATCCTTCTAGCACCTTTCATCGCTGGCATCACTGCGTTTAATGCTGCAAGTAACCATTTGCTCCCATGTATTTGTTTCCTTCGTCTGTGAGTTCCTTGAGGCCAGACAGAGTTTGAGCCATAATCAGAAGTGGTGCTCAGCAAAAACATTTTCAATAAGTGTGATCGCTCTAACATCACTAATAGTTTAAATGCCACTATGAAAGATATGATCATTAAAGACATTACAATTGTAAGAAAGTTAATGCACATCGTAAACAAAATATTAGAGATGATTTCACATTAATGTTATCATTTTGGTATACTCATTTTAACATTGATCAATATTGCAAAATAAACATTGCCTTCAGATTCAGACAGACACCCACTCATATACTACCCATATTCTGTGAGCAATGAAAAATCCACGTCTAACATCCTTTCTTGGGGACACAATAAGAACTTATTTTTTCCAGTTCAAAATAACTACCCATTAATACTTCATCACAAAATAAAGGCTCTGTAAAGAGACACATCTGTTTTCCAAGAGAAATCTACAGGGGAGATTTGTTGTTCAAGACAGTATGTGATAAATAGTTACACAGGATCAATCTCTCTTTCTATGGAAAATGTTTAAAACTCAAAAGCTCCAAGCACGGGACTCAGCATGACACACCACACAGTTGACTGGGACTCTGACTACTGAAGTATAGTAACTCATGATCAAGTTAGTCAAGCCTTCCTTTAAGTTCATATTATCCATTTATTGATATTCACTGATCATTCCTCTAAGAGGAGCTCTTCATTAACATGACCTACAGCATAAAAAGTGAGATCTTTCTTTTATAATCAGTGGTTTGAACAAGCTACAGGCTCCAAGAGCAATAGGATGGCAAAGCAATTACAATCAATTAGTTTCATCTGACAACTACTGTCTCCAGTGGTTACCTCCCATTCTACCAACTGCTCTCCCCATCACATCATCATCTATCAGAGGACTAGAGATCCAAGTAAAGCCTCTGCAAACATCCAAGTTGGGAGAGTATAGAGATTGTCAGGCATAACCTGTGCTCAGGGTTTCTATTTCCATGGCTTACAGAATCTCAAAATTAATTTAAAATGCATCTGC